ATCCCTGATATACTAGAACCAATACCAGTGTAGCGAATCGCAATGCAGCGAGGCTGCCGTACCTCTTTGCTTAGAGGAAGCTAGGCTAAGGCCACCGACCTTACATACTTAATAAGAACTAGTACGAGTGCAGAGGATCGCAATCTGGTGCCTCCAAGAGTACTTAGAACCTCAGCCAAGGTAAGTGGACTCTTCCGTTCAGAATTGAAATAGTAGTTAATTATTATAGTTTCGGCAGCGCCCCCTATATCTAAAACCCTAGGTTTTCCTAATTAATATATTAATAACATAATTAATTCAGTAGAACCTAATTATTGTGCATTTACTGCCGGCAATTCTACAACGTAGTGGGTTCTTGTTACGGTGTTACCAGACCATTGTGCCATTACACCAACTTGTGCAATCCACACCTATGCATGGACACACCATCTTGTTCGACCCGCCCTATCATATAAGGGTATGTGTAAACCTGTTACACTCAAAATATTCCCGATTCACATTTAACGGTCACCGCATACAAGGCTCGCGTGTCTGAGACACCATCACGTTCTGAGGAACATTCTCATCACACATAGCAATGGTAACATCCTGCACATAAAACAAACGAAAATGGGAATAGCGGAATACGCGGCGCAGAAGCCATACTCCACACGAGGGTCTAAGATCGAGCGTGGATACGAGCGCATGAGAGCCGCCCTGTGGGCAGCCTTCAGTTGCCGCGCCTATGCCTCGTCGAGGCGATTGGTAACAATACTACTTCCCCCGGAACCCGAGAGATCGAGAAATGGATACGATGCACGCAAGGTTTGAGCTAGGCTCACGTTGCGCCGTTGGCGCACTTCATCCTTCTTTGTATGCTAAGAAACAATAACCGAATGTCGCAATCTCCGACAACAGAGGCCTTGACGACATTTAGTGACCGTAAGTCGCGAGCAGAAGACTAGGCCCTGGGCATAAGAAGGATACTGTATCTCACTCACGATGTGGTGATATTACTGTATGTGAAGTACCGTGTGATAGTTCCACCGTGCAACGTCACTCAGCGTCGTCCAGTGTCCCCACTTCCTGCTCCATCGGAGCCTTCATATTTTTAACAACTTCCGACGAAGAGCTGCTATTTCCGTACTCTTCGTCCAGTAGATAACGTGCCACCCCACGCGTGTAACGAGTTTACACGTACCCTTGTATGAAAGGGCGGGTCGCACAAGATGGTGCGACCGTACATAGGTGTGGATTAAACAGGTTAGTACAATCAAGCAAGGTGTGACTACACCGTAACAAGAAGCCACCGTGTGGCAGGATTGTCAGTAGTAATGCATATTACTTCATTGATCAAGTTGTTCTAAATTAATTAGGTATTCCTATATTAATTAAAAAATCTAAGGTTACAGATATTGGCGGCTCTGCCGCAACTAAAACAATTTGATACGGTTTCAATTTTGAACGGAAGAGAATCTATACCTTCTTCAAGGGTTTAGGTACTCCGGAGGTAGCGGCTTGCGATTTGCTACCCTCGTAGAGATTTTTGGAAAGAACGTAAGATCGGTGACCTTAGCTTAGCCCCCTCTAAGTAAAGGTCAGCAGCAGCTCCGCTGCACTTGGTTGCACTCGTAGACAATCTACGCTTGAGTCGTTACGACTGATCCTCTGGCATGCAGGATGGGCATATAA